CAATTTCAAAGTTTACAACAAACAAACATCTACATCACTACAACTCTATTGTAAACGATTGTTGTTAAATATGGCATACCACAAAGGTAGCCGAACAAAATAACTGGGCCATCTGAAAACAACTTGCTGCGCCGTCCCGCCATATATTGAATTGAACTATGGGCATTTGAACACCTCGGTCCTAACCCATGTAGGCATATATTCACATGCCCAAGAAACTGTGGCCTAAATTTATGCTAAAAGTGCATATATTCAAGGACAATACTGTACAGTGGTTTGATTCAAACAGAACGACAGAACAATTAACATTTGTACAAACGCCCCAAGTGCACAACATAAACTATATACAGTACCGGTACCTCACATCACACTATATTAATATATAAAACAGAAGCCACAAATTCATGAATGTTTCCTTCGCATAAAAATATAATTGCTCAATTCTCAATGTGGTATTTGCAAACAGCAAGTGCTCAGCCCGGGAATTACACCATAACTTGATAATCATATCACATTTGTATGATTTGTATTAATGTCGTTTGTGACTTTATTAAATATATGCACATTACATTAATTACAATAACCTTGGAAAAATCCAAGTACTGCAAATAAACTGCTTCAATATAAAAACGCCAGAAATTAAGAAGGCGAAGAGGCAGCTGAAGTAAAAAGTTAATAACGATCGTGCAAGATATTAAGAACTTTTAAAATTGCTCCTCGATAACTTCTTATATAAGATATACTGTCCTTGAGGGTTGCAGTGAACCCCATCAAGAGACAACAAATCAATTCTACCATTGTCAAATTTACGATGGTCCCAAAGAAATACGCCAGGTTCATTCGCCAAAACGACAGACAAATACTGCCGCAGAATAGAAGCTTTTGCATTAAAAGCATGGTCCGGTGCGTCGGAATGCGGAATGTGCCTATTTATAACTTGGCACACAGCAATGACCTTTATGTTTGACTCGTCAAGCATATAGCGTACGAGATCGTCTATCCGCGAACCGACCACCTCCGGAGAAAGGTTTGACAAATCGTTCGTCCCTATTTCCAAAACGACGATATCCGGTTTGCAGGTTTTGAGAAAGGAAATATCATACTTAAACACTTTGTCTACAGTTCGACCGTCCGTGCCCTTCAAAGATACGTACACGCCTGAATAGACCTTTCCCCTTATAACCAAAATTTTGATATAAGCAAGTCTAGACAAATATTTCATCACAGCTTGAAAGAGCATCACAAAATTAGTAATATTCCAAAGTTTCGTTCCGAAATGTTGTAAAATGAGGAAAATAGAGCCTTGCGAAGTTTGCAATTTTCAGTCATTTTGCAATTACAAACGGGAAATTGCAGCCCCAACACCCGAATCGGATGTCAATTTCCCGTTTGTAATACCAAATGACTGAAAAACGGCAAACTTCGCAAGGCTATATTATCCGCATTTTACAACATTTCGCAACGAAACTTTGGAATATTACTAATTTTGTGATGCTCTTTCAAGCTGTGATGAAATTTTTGTCTAGATCAAAATTTTAGTTATAAGGGGAAAGGTCCATTGGCCAGGTTAAAATTTTGTTTGGCACGAGAATCAAAACCATTATTTAAATCGTCGTTTAAGCGGCGCACAAAAGAATGGCCAAATACCAAAACATTAGGAATGAAACCCGACATATTTCTTGAGGGTAAATAAGATAAATAAGATAAAAGAAAACACAATACCTGAAAAAACTTTGGAAGAAAGTATGCAAGTGTTGCTCCTGACTGACCTCGGTAGAATAACCTAACCTTGACACTCGCGCCTTTTATACGCAGCATCAGAGTAAAATTCCCAAATGTAGCAACTTCTCCCCGTGATATTTCGTTGTATGCGTTACGTCATCATTTCATTAGCTATAGTAAATCTAACTATATATATATATATATATATATATGTATATATTATATATATATATATATATATATATATATATATATATATATATATATATATATATACATATATATATATATATATATATATATATATATATATATATATATATATATATATATATATATATTATATATGTATATATATATATATATATATATATATATATATATATATATATATATATATATATATATATATATATATATATATATGTATATATATATATATTAGGGAAAGCAATAAAATTACTATTCGGTGAACAAATAGTTCCTTTAAACAATTCGAAACGGCAGTATTTTAAATTTTGACCGACCGGACGCATTAATGTTCTAATTTCGATACAGAAATCTTTCTCATTCATTGCTATTTATTTTGATAAGTAAAGCAGATGACTCTTGTGTATTCAATATATTTAAACATCTCAAGAATGAAAAGAAATGCAGTATTCCGCGTAAGGACACAAAAGTTCGTTGACATTTTCAGCACTATTCTGTGATTTTGAGTTTTTGACAGGTGGGCGTGGCCCAAAATTATAAAACATGCCTGCAGGCGTTTATTTCCCTCGGCGGTCTTCTATAAATGCCTGTTTGTAGGCTAAATCAACGCAGCCTTGGTGGATCTTGTAGAATATACACGACTGGTTAAGGTTACAGAACACCTTTGAGTTTTAATTTTGCCTAAAAAATTTTCAGTGGTTTCCATGAAAGCATTAGACTAGTTCTACCATCTGACCAAGTTTGAACGAAAAAGGTTGAAAACTCGCAGAGTTATTTAATAAAATACATTTCGCTGCAATAAGAAAAAAATTGAAAATGTAATATTTAAATTCAATTTTCTCCGTAAGAATTTCATGGCAGTTACCGATTTTCAAACGAGTTGTTCTCCTGTGGGTTTTAACGCATTTTCCCCAAATTTCCACAGGACATAGCTAACGACGTCAGATTCAAAATTGTGTTCGTCTTTTTTGACGTATATTTTAATAATAAGGAGTAATTCACACAAACGATTCAGAAATATATTGCAGTCGTCAAAGAAATCGCCATATCAGCGGAATAACGAAATAACAAAAAATTCCGAACACAATTTTTTAGAACAACTATTTTACTGTATAAAAATGATATATCCATAAATATATCTTAAAACCAGCCAGAACATAACTCAAAAGCGCAAAAGTACCGAGAATTAAGATTTTCCTGAATAATTCTTACATTATCTTATTTTTTGTCAATTTTACAACTTTACTATATTTTGCATCAACTGGCGAACATTTGGTGAAAATTTGATGAAAATCGGACTGATTGTGAGCGCGCAGTAGCAATTTTCCGCAAAACGCCAAAAGGGTATCCTGTAACTTTAAGCAGTCTACGCCGTTCAAGTGTGTCCCATCCTAAATTGTTGATCATGCATGGAGGAAACATGACTGTATCTAGAAAAGTCACTGCTAGATCTAAAATACAGGTCCTAATCCGTCCTATATCAACTGATTAAGCCCTGGTCAAACGACGATAAGAGTTCATCGGAGTTGGCAATCACAAATTAGTACAGAGGATGTTTTAAACTCTAGATTAACAAAATAAAGGTTTGATATTGTTCCATGGTAGTGTTGGGAAAGCATTAAGAACAGCTAATATAAAGGTCGCGTGATTGCTAACTCGCATTCTCGTTTGATCCGGGGTTGTATAATATATTTATATGTTCATTCTCTTTACAGAATTTGATCAATATGTTCGAGGGATACCAGCAACGGCTACACCGCAACCGGAAAATTTTGTACCAGGTATATATAGGGGATAACGCGTTTTTCTCCCACGCGTGTCCTCTGGCGCGCATTAATTATATAACCGCAAGTGAGATGAAAAACTCCACATGGACACACGGAAATACCCTTCCCGCTAGGGGAGACGTCTCGGCAATCACATGAACAAGAACTTAATGTACAAATTGTGTTTGTAGATTGCATCAAGGATATTCTAATTCTCTGGGATAACTCGTATTCCATTGGCATAGGAGCCTTCACAGATAAAATAAGACCTTTTATCAGAAAACTTATAAAAAGTCCACGACTAAACGTAGGAGAAGGTGGTACCAATATTGGCGTTGTTTCATTCAGTACACAGGCCCAAACTAGGCTGTTGTGGGACGTTACAGACCATCCAAATGAAGACGATCTCCTGGCTCAGGTCAATGCGATGAACTACAATCTTCTCAAGGGAGATGGCACAAGAACAGGCATTGCTTTTAAAAAGGCAAATGAGGTAAATATAACTACAATCTTTGACATAACTTTCCCTGTATACAATACTCTCATACCCCCTATGATAAACTTCATGTTGAGTCCCACCCAACTCAATGTTGAGCTTGTGTCATGGTAAATTACCAAAAGTTGTTTTGGCGTTGTTTACAACATTGAACTGGGGGGAGGGACAAAGTTCGTTTCGTAAAATGTTCATTTACTTTGCAATATTGGCTGGAATGGTCTCAATGGTAATGTCCAAGCTTGTAGAATAATTAAATGACTTTCAGACCAAGGAAAACTCAGAACAACTTCCAGCCATGTGTCCTGAAATTGAGGAAACATTTTTTCCGCAGATGAGCAAAAAAGGGAACAATTTTTCCAAAAAATGTTTCCTACACGTCAGAAACCAGCAACCATTGTTTTCCAACCATGTTTTCGGGAAATTGGACATAACAGGAAACATTGTTTCCAAGAGATGTTGCAAAAGGAAAAAACAGGAAAGATTACCCGTAGAGTACATAACATCTGAATGAATTGTTCCAACACAATAAATTTTGTGCGACTGAACATTGCAACATATTTCATATTTCCAGCTGTTTTCTGACAAAAGCCCATACAACTACCGACCAACAATAGGCGATGTGGTGTTTTTATTCACGGACGGAGAACCCATTAGGCGACTTCGAGAACCGGATAATGAAGACAGTTTCGGCTTCAGATCGGAAACAGAAATGGCTACTTATTATGCTGAGGAACTCAAGAAAAAGAATGTTACCGTGGTGGGACTGGCTGCCGGACAAGAAGACATTATCGACAAATTTTATGATGACCTCACTGATTGGTCAAACTTCGTGTTTAAAACGGAATTTACTGAACTTGATAGTATACTGGACAAAATTGTCAGTGCATCATGCACTAGTGCAGGTGAGACTATTGCTACAACTAATGTCGGTTATACAAGAGACCACCTGTGAGTCGGATCATAGATGATCCTGCATGCCTCCTCCACAGGACCTGGAAAGGTCACGCACAAATTCTGCAGGGCCAGCGAAACCTTGTAAAATATTAGTCATTACTATTCAATTAAATATGCAGTAATAAATTTAAATAATTAACTAGCGATCGTTTCAGCCAATCACAGTGCAGCTTTCGGCCAAAATCGTAACTGACTGGTCAGTTGCATTTCCCCTTAGCAATGCGTAGCAATCATTGCAATCTTTTATAAATTAATTGGAGCTTTTAAGCCTTCAGGGTAAACTTTTTCACTAGTTTTAGTTCTTCCACCAAAACGCTATTTTGTCGTTATGGAATAACATATCCTACATGCAGACAGCACTTTTAAAGTGCCCCTGACACAAAAAAATTTTTTCAGTCTATTGAAAGTACTCATTTAGTATAGTGTTATAGCGAAAGAATTTTTTGATTTCATCAAAACGAAAAAATTTTAGAGCCGTTTGAACACGCAAAATTTGGGCTTTTGGTTGGCAGGCGTCCGTGTTCGAAGGAAACTGGAACGAGCGATTTTTGTTACGTCACGCAAGTGAGTCGGCGTATATTCTATTATTCGACTATACTAGCACTATCAACTCTCGGCGGATATATAGGTAGATTTGTGATCGAAAAAGATATGCCTTTTTACTGTGTTGCAGCTAACTGTACCAATAAAACATGTTTAAAAGATGGAATAAGTCTACACAATATTCCATACTTCAATGACGAACACGCGGAAGCTAAAAGACGAAGAAAAGTATGGGTTGATTTTGTACGCGCAAAGCGTTTGTTTGTGCCGCCCGACTTCGACTATATGCTCGGATCATTGTAGAACAGAGTATTACGAGAGGCAATTTTTTTCGTTGCCGGGGCTCGGCAAGCCTAACTATCTGAAGCTAATAAAGATTGACGATGATTTGCTTTGTTTTGATGATTCAATTTGCAATTGTATTTCGGTTTTGCGGCCAGCTAAAAATATAAATATTTTGTAATACCGAAATAAAAGATGCAAATCTGAAGACACAAGCTTGAAAATAACCCTCTAAATAGTGTTTTGGATTCCGGTTCGAATAAGACTATTACGAAAAAGATATGTCCAAAGGGGCCGAAGTTATGGTCGGCTAAATGTATGGCTACTTTACATTGTTCGAGACTAATTGAGTAATATAATGAATTATGACACCGCTTGACCTCTCAAAGGTGACCAAAGGTCATAAATAGCTATTTGACGTACAATTTGACTAAAACTATATTTGACTAAAACTATCATTAGAAATAAGGAGATTTTGTTTCTCTGAATCGAATGGTAGTAATTTTGTCTTCATAGCATGCACCGAACCGGAGATATGAACCTTGCAAAGTCATAGAACGTCTACGTTAGTAGGAAGCTTATTAAAGATGCGCCAAATCTGAGATATGGCGCGACTAAAAGACAATCGCTAACATAAATGGGAGACTAGTTTTACTTTGTTTTTCTCGTGTCCCTGACTTTGTTTACCAACAACAGTTTTTATCCGTGAAGTGAAACTGTGATAATAGCGGCAGTTTTTCGTCACGTCCGCGTCGCAGATTTGGTAATATTAATGATACCACTACTAGAGACCTGACGAGATGCTACAGATCAGCATTTTCCAATACAACATATTAACCAGGTATAAAATTCGCTCCGGAATCATCGGACTGATTCTGTTGATTCTGTTGACATGATACTTAATAGAACTTAGAATATAAAAAGTTAAACACTTCAGCAATCAACTGTGAGCTGATTAAAACAGATAACTTAAAACAGGCATCAAGATTCGACTCACTTGCGTGACGTCAGAATAAATGCTAGTGCCAGACTTCTGTCGCCGACGGCCATTGGCCAAAAATATTTGGATTCAAACGGCTCTAAAATTTTTTTGTTTTGATGAAATCGAAAAATTCTTGCGCTAGAACACTATACTAAATGAGTACTTTCAATAGAATAAAAAAAATGTTTGTGTCAGGGGCACTTTAAGCAAACACATAACAGTTTTAGAACAAGTTTTTATAAATGGCGGTGTTGAACAATGTAAAACAACGGTCAAGTACTTTCTTTCTTTACAATTAATTATTCCATTTGCCCCATATTCCTTAAAGTATATTGTGAAAACTATATTTACGGAAAAAGATTGCGTTTTCAAACTAAACTGAAGATTGAGATTCACTGTCGTACATCCGTACAGAAAAGTGCTTAAATTAATCCCTGGCATCCAATCTTCTTTGCAGGAGAATGTGGCTGTGGTGAACTGAATACAAAGGCCTATACCAAGAAGGGAAGAGACGCTATAGTTGAGTGGTTACCACCAACCCTTACATGTACAACGCGTCAACCAACCATTTCGGAAACGAAGATCAGCCCCAATGGTTCCAAACCTGGCCAGAGATTTACAGAAGGCTTACATGACATTATTTATAGCTTCACATATCAAGATGGTGCCAAGCTAAGGACCCGACGCTGTAACGTATCTATAGACGTTTTAGGTAAGTCAATGAATATCTACATACCAAGCAGGGAGTCAACCTCGCAAGCCAGGCTCTCTACTTCCGCTCCCCTCCCAAACACGCTGCAGCGTGAGCTGCTGAATAATGTCTATAACTTTAACAAGTCATTTCTTTCATTTAGCTTGTGAGTGCCCAACTCAAACCGTTAATGGGGTAATAGGACCTTCTAGTACCCAAGGTCTAGCCAGTTGGAAAATACCAGAACCAACATGTCCAGTAGAACCAAAGCAACCGATAACAGAGCTTAATGGTTCGTTTACTAAAGGGAAACACACAGTGCAATATGTCTATACTCACACAAGTGCCAGCAATATCTTTGATATAACATGTGATGTGAATATCAACATGGAAGGTACGTATTAAATGCGTGATGCCCAGTGAGCTCTATATACATCTGGAGCAAAAACTTCAGCCATTCGACTTATGAGAAAAGTGAAGTCAAGATGGCAGCCATTGACGTCCAAATAGCTCTGAAGGTCGTAAACAGTTTTTCTTGTGCCATTTTCCCCCAGCTAAATCCAGTTTTTTTAACGGACCGTATCGTTTAAATTGAAGTCAAAATACGAAATTTTGGCACACTCTTTGCAAAGATGGTGGAAATTGATGAGCTATAGGACGTCAGTTCCAGTCCCTTTCCACTGTTTTGTCTGCGCGGCTTCACTTTTTGGACTCGAGTTCCCGCTCCAGATATAGAGCTCACTGGCGATGCCTCGGAACTGGCATCATCAATACCTCTGCCAGGTTGTTAATGTTTTTTATCGGCGTTTGTATTTCCGCATGTGTGTGTGTGGATTTTCTGCCTGTCAGCATGATAAGTTATTAAAAAGACTTAAAAAGTGATTAAATTTGGATGGAAATTGGATAAGAAATTAGCAAAACGTTGCCTTGCTTTGCTGAGTAGTGTAAACAGAATGCACATAACTTAATAACGGGTATACTACATCAATGCCCTCAATAGTCGTTATGATACAGATGATCCAAGAACGTGGAAGACAATATGTTTAAGATGTAACTGTCTTCCAAATATGAATAATGAAATAGCTTACTGTAGCTGAAGGTGATGTTGTGCGAGACAATTTTTGCTGCGACTTACAGCATGGATTAATCTGTGACAAACTCATGTTATCCAAAAGGCACGACATTCTTTATTCTATTACTTTCACTTTCCATCCTTTAAGATTTTTTATCTACGGGTTGTGGCGGAGGTTGCCTCGTGTAGCATGGCCTTTACTATTCATAGAATTTTATTTTATAGCTCGTTATTAAGAACCAACAGTATAATTGGTTTATATACTGTTGTTGTGACCCCGTCATTCGCAGTTAGATTCAATGATGTGCATGTTCTGCTGTTGTAATGTCATGTATGTATATGTACGTTTGTGATGGCGAAGTTTAATAAATAAATAAATTCGCTGGCGAAGGCATGCAGTCTTCTAGTGCGCTCTAGTTAAAATGTGGCTTTTCTTCAATATAAGCATTTCATTCAGAAAGCATGTATACATGCTGAACTTTAGGTTAAAACACTGAGAATGTAAAAGCAATCTGTTGTTCGGAAGCTTCTGAATGGACACTATTAATATAATAGAAATAACTGGGGTCGGTTCTATAAAACTCTTAGTTACTTTTTTAATCACTATTTTGTAGTTAAATAGTGATTAACTCTCAAATAAGCGCTTTTTATTGGATGACGTTTGCACATAATCATAGTTAACTTTAATCACTTTTTTATACAACCGGCCCCTGGTCTTTACTAGAAACCAAGAATATTCCTACTTTATTTCTTTATTTTGTTTGTGTCTTCCTAGCCTGCAAATGCCCTCCAGTACAGACATTTAAAGAAATATTAAGACCTGGTGAGAGCAAGGCTTTCGTTACGTGGAAGGAACCAACTCCTAATTGCGGAGTGACGTTGGAGTCTTCTGATAGTACTGCTCCAGACGGATTGTTTACTGTTGGAAAACACACAAGACAATATACATACCGTCATGAAACTGGCTTTAGTATGACTTGCGATGTAAATATTGAAGTGGAAGGTATGTTTCTCGGTGATTGGACAACACAACACAACACAATACAACACAAAACAAAACAACACAAAACAACACAACACAACACAAATGCATTTAAGAACGGTAAAATCTTCAGCATATATAGATATCCTAACTACCATACAACAACAACAACAAGATCTGAAAATAACTACAGCTGGTTTACGATAACTACTACAGGTTAACGCTTACATTATTATGATACTCGTCTATAGCTTTCTTAAACTGTGATAACGATTGAAGCTTTCGTATATCATGAAGAAGACTATACCACAATAGAACCCCACTATAACAAAAGCTTTGCTTTAAAGTGCATATGACATGAAATTTATTATTTTCTTAAATGAAAGAACTCTTTAAGCTGTAGTGTAACTTATATTTCAGTTTCTTGTTTTTATGGTTTGTTCCCGAGATATTTCAATTTGTTTGACATGTAAATGAGTGTGAATATGTCCGCTAATTTATGACGTCACGTTGGTTGCAAGCTCCTCAAAATGGTTGAATATCACTGCTATCATCCAAAATGATAACTTCAAACTTCTCTCACTGGTAAATGTGATGAAACACTGGAGAAAAATGTGAACTGATATTTTCAGTTTTTAGAGTTAATAGATTTATAGCCAGTGTAAGTTGAGCTTGCAACCAACGTGACGTCATAAATTAGCGGACATATTCACACTCATTTACATATCAAACAAATTGAAATATCTCGGGAACAAACCAAAAAAACGAGAAACTGAAATATAAGTTACACTACAGCTTAAAGAGTTCTTTCATTTAAGAAAATAATAAATTTCATGTCATATGCACTTTAAATAGTTTGTTCGCGGCTTGGGCAAATTTAATCTCATTTCAGAGTTTCTTATAGGTCGTACCCTGTGCCAAGAATTGAAAAGAAATCACGTAAATAAGAAGGCGTATTTCTTTAAGTGTTTTAAAAATTAGACCAGCCTTCTCAACAAATGCTCTCCAAAACTATATATATTGGAATTCCTGATCATAAGCTGCTATCTTTTAGTGATTTTACGAGAATATTAAAGAGGAGGGAATATAAAAGGGAGAGTAAGCAGTGAATAATTTATATCTCTAACATGTTATTTTTTTCATTTAGCTTGTGAATGCCCAACTGAAACCGTTAATGGGGTGATAGGACCTTCTAGAACCCAAGGTCTAGCCAGTTGGGAAATACCAGAACCCACATGTGCAGTACACCCAAAGCAACCGATACCGGAGCCTAAGGGTTTGCTTACGGAAGGAGAACACACAGTGCAATATGTCTATACTCACAAAAGTGCCAGCAATACCTTTGATATAACATGTGATGTAAATATCTACATGGAAGGTACGAATTAAATGTGTGATGCCTCAGAAGCTATAGCATTATAATCTCCGCCAGGAGGTTATCATCTCATGCAGTTAAGAGCCGCGTTTGTGTGTTTGTTTGTCAGCACGGACTGATAGGAAAATTTGTGGGACTAGTGGATAAAAAAAAAAAAAAACATTAAAAAAATATCAAACGTACTAAATAGGAAAATTTGTGGGACTACAGATTGTTTAAACTTTGGTTAATAAACTTGGATGAAAATTGCATGAGAAATTAGCAAAAGTTTGCATTGCTTCGCTATGCAGTGTGCAGTGTAAACTAAATTCGTAATTAGCCCATTGTACAATTTATGTACGGTACATAACTTAATGCACTGTGGAGATATGCAGTCTCCAAGTGCCCTCTGTAGTTAAAATTTCCCTTAATATAACTATTTATTCAGAAAGCATACATACTAAACTTTAGGTTTACTTAATACCACTGAAAATGCAAAACCAATCTGTTGTCCGGAAGCTTCTGAATGGAAAATATTAGTATAATACAAACAACTTGTTTTTATTAGAAGACCATGCCCCGATATACAAGTCAGATCTACTTCAGCTGTACCAAACACTGTTGGGTTTTAATATGGGAGTTTCTGCTGGATTCAAGTTATTACGCGCTACAGAAGAAATATACTTAATTCCAATACTTTAATTCGTATTTTTTTGTGTCTTTCTAGCCTGCAAATGCCCTCCAGTGCAGACATTTAAAAAAACAGTAAGCCCTGGTGAAAGCAAAGCTTTCGTTACGTGGAAGGAACCAACTCCTAATTGCGAAGTGACACTGGAGTCTTCTGACAGTACTGCTCCAGATGGATTATTTACTGTTGGAAAATACACAAGACAATATACATACCGTCATGAAGCTGGCTTTAGTATGACCTGCGATGTAAATATCGAAGTGGAAGGTATGTTTTGTTACTTGGAGGGCTTCTTTTAGCATATACACTGGGAGGCAAGCAGTTTCCCCCACCCCCGCCCGGTCCTACCCCCACCCCCGCAAACGATGTTGGATTCCCAGTTAAGGTCCCTCAAGTCTAAAATGTAAACAGAGTGAGAAGAAAACTTTGTTGGCAAGAATGTTTTAATATTCATATGGATAAACCTCTTTCTCAATTAAATATGTCAAAAAGGTGTGTACGTCGGAAAATGCAGGAAAACAAGCCCCAGAGACTCAAAATTTCCTAAGGGTCTTCGCCACTGATCCAAAACTGGGTCTGGGCAAAGCAAATTCTTGAATTCAGTGCTCCTGAGCAGCCAATTATGACGCCAGAACAGTAAGAACGAGAAGGATTTCTAAATGTATCCGGCTAACTGCCCGTAACGGAGTTTATGCTAATTTGCTTTGTTAAAAGGCTATACAGTAGCTAGGGTTTCACGCTTGAAAAAGAAAAAGATGAGCTTAGCTGGTATCTTTTAGTGGGTATAAGGCATAGGTATAGGGAGTGCAAACACACATCAAAATAGCTCAGGACTGCATGACATAGTCAGCTAAGACCATAAAAATCTGGGCCCACCGTTATCGTTAGTCTAGGTCTGGCCCAACCCAATCCTTGGAAACGGCAAAAACCTTGGGGGAAATGTAATTAAATCTTTATTCAAACAATTTGAGTAAATTTGAAACTGGATTAATTTTACTGAAATTTTGAGTCAGGTGCAATATTTTAAGTTTTTGAGTATGGTTTTTTTTTGCAATGGTAGCATGGTGAACAATGTAAATGTGTTACAATTACTGGGGCATTGCTTGGCTGAAGTTACGGCTCGCAATGTAGACATGGCCTTGGAGCAAGTCTGTAAAAACTATTTTCTTTTCTTATACAGGAGAGTTATGCCGTGGAAAGGCAATCAATCCTGATACCGAGGTGTGCTGCTGTGGGGAGGTACATCGCGCTCAAAGTGGCTACAAGTGCTGCGGCGTGGAATACTATAACACGTTGGCACATGAATGTTGTGATGAAAAGAGAGCGAATGTCATGCCGAAAGGAGAAAGATGCCCAAATGTCGTTTATTAAAATATTACGTAAAATAGACTTGAACTAAATGATTTACGTCGCAGAAGAACTGTGTACTTGTAGTTCAATGTATGTATCTATGGATATGTCATTTGTGTTCAATTTAACATAAATTATGTTGTTGCATGTAGACAGCATATTATATCAATACCTAAGTAAGTCTTGCATACAGTTCTAAAGTAAGGAGCATTAAAATATGAAAAGGTCAATTGCCAATTTTCAATAATGTACAGTAATTCTTATGCAGAGAATTATGGAGAGACCATACGTTAATATTAGACGTACTAATTAAAAATTAATAAACCTTTTAAAGATACTGTTGGCTGCTAATTTTTTTATATATATAAAGTAGGTAATTGGACAAGTACTGGTGTTAGATATTGTTTGGACTATAAAATGAGAAGAAGCCCCTGACTAACCCCCCACTGTTGTTTAGGTGAAATAATTAGCAGACCAACATACACTAACATGAACGACTGGCCTCCTTTTATATCATATTTATTGTAGTCAGTCAAGACCTTGTACAAACCAATTGCAGTTGAGCTTGCAGCTTGCATTTTAAACGCGTTGTTACATCGTTGTTCACAACATGCAATATTGAACTCATTATACGTTTGTTTGTACGCCGTTCAGAAGCTTAGCAACGCGCGCAAAAAGTTCACGTTACGCCCCAAGCAAGGGCGTGTTTCCACTTCCCAAGGAATGAACGCATACCTTTCAACGATGTAACAACGGGTTTAAAATGCAAGCTGTAAGCTCAACTGCAATTGGCTGTATGATTGAATGATGATTAAATTAGTACCCAGCAAGGGGTCGGTTGTTAAAAGTTGGATTAACTTAACCCTAGGTTAATTAATCTAAAATTCAAAGCAATCTTTCTGACTGCTTGTCTATAAATTTGGAATTATTTCTTCAGAGATCTTGTCTTGATCAATACTAGGAGTTTACTTCTCTGAAGTTTTGAAATAAACAGACGTGCAGAAATATAGAAACTACAACAGCAGGTAAAATATTAACCCAGGGTTAGCGCTAACCCACCTTTGAACAACCGGTATCTATATCGATATATATATATATATATATATATATATATATATATATATATATATATATATATATATATATATATATATATATATATATATATATATATATATATATATATATATATATATATATATATATCTATATCTATATATATATCTATATATATACATATATATACATATATATACATATATATACATATATATACATATATACATATATATACATATATACATATATATATATATATATATATATATATAGATTAATCACTAGGCGAAAAGCCATAAAGGTATATAAATTAATCAACACATAAATTGGGTTCGCCTGTTAAGTAAGATTATATTTGATGAAGACAATAAAGTCGAAACGTTAAAAAAAAACGTTATGTGTTGATTAATTTATATATATATATATATATATATATATATATATATATATATATATATATATATATATATATATATATATATATATATATATATATATATATATATATATATATATATATATATACATATATATATATATATATATATATAGATCTATAATTGAGGCTGTCAATTTCCCGTTTGTAATCTAAAATGACTGACTTTGGAATATTACTAATTTTGTGATGCTCTTTCAAGCTATAATGAAATTTTTGTAGAGATCAAAATTTAGTCTATTAGGGGCCATTCACAAAGGATGTCCGAGCCGAGGGGGGTAGGGGGGTTTGGAAAATCAGGACAAACTCGGACATAGGGGGGGAGGGGGTTTTAGCAATCCGGATGTCCGAAATTTAAAAAAAATTCAAAAACAATTTTTTTTTTCCCTCTATTTTGAGCAGTCCTTCCCATTGTGAAATTGGCATTTTGACTATGCGGTTAACACTAGATTTTGTTTTAATTAGTAATTTATATGTTTTTGTGTTCACATTTACAGTTATAAAAAAGTTCTAAAAGTAAAAGTTTTTTACTCTTGATATATACAAGATTGCATGAGTTTTTGCGAGGCACGGCGGATGTCCGGGGGGAGGGGGTCACTAATTCGGACAATGCCGGACAAGGGGGAAGGGGGGGGGGGTCTGAAAATCCATCATTTGGCCGGACATCCTTTGTGAATGGCCCCTAAATATGGTAATTGGCCATGGCCTCAAAAATATTGATTTATTTTTAATGTTCTTGATTGCAGGGAACGTTAAGCAAAGATGAATGGGAAGCTACAGGTTTGTTGAAATAATTGTCAGCCGTGCTAGTGAGTAAATAATTGATGAGGAATTTATCCATCTGTGAGGAAAATTGCCGTCCTTCTCAAGTATATTTGATTATTTCGTGTGGAGTATAAATTGTCCTCGCATATGTAAGTCCTCATATACGTAAGTCCTTGTACGGGCGTAAAACTCGAACCAAATGTGCAGGAAATCCCACTTTCCCAGTCCAAAGAAGGAATATCCAGTTCCCATTTTACCCCTTCATGACCCTCAAATTTGCTAGGGTATATTTAGCTGTAAATTTAGCTGTAATGTAAATGTACCAATGTAAACGGGCTTCATATCTCGGCAGGGCTGTACATGGTCTTCGCGTTCAAGAAAGCAGAGCCGGAACCCAAGCCAGCTCCAATGGAAGAGGTCAAGACAGACGTCGACAAAATGGAACAGTCTGAACAGCAGTCTGTTGAGAACGACAGCGACACAAAAGGCGAGGAGAAGATGGAAGAGGACAAAAATGTCGAAGAACAGGACACTGAGACGAAAATGGACCAAGCTGATGGAAAAGACGAGGGCGACAAAAAAGGCGAAGATGCCGAAATAAAAGACGAAGATACGGAAATGAAAGACGAAGATGCCGACAAAAAGGACGAAAGTGCCGAAGTAAAAGACGAAGATGCCGACAAAAAGGACGAAAGTGCCGACAAAAAAGACGACGATGTCGACAATAAAGACGACATTGTCGACAATAAAGACGATGTCGACAAAAAGGAAGAAAGTGACGACAAAAAAGACGATGTCGACAAAAAAGACGGCGATGTTGACAAAAAGGACGACAGTGCCGAGAAAAAGGACGGAAGTGCCGAGAACAAGGACGAAAGTGTCGAGAAAAAGGACGAAAGTGCCGAGAAAAAGGACGAAAGTGCCGAGAAAAAGGACGAAAGTGCCGAGAAAGAGGACGAAAGTGCCGAGAAAGAGGACGAAAGTGCCGAGAAAAAGGACGAAAGTGCCGAGAAAGAGGACGAAAGTGCCGAGAAAAAGGACGAAAGTGTCGAGAAAAAGGACGAAGTGGGTGACCAGGTGGAAAGCGGAGAAACTGCAAGCACAGAAGTTTTTCAGGGGAGCGAGGCTGGCAAACAAGGGGATGTGGGAGAAGAAAAGAAGAAGCCAACACCACAGCGAGGAAGGAGAAAGCGGTCGGCGGGGGCAGCAAAAGATGAGGCCGCCACCTCTGAAGGAAGCACAGAAGTGACACCAAAACGGGGAGGTAGGAAGAGAAAATCGACCGGAGGAGCTGAGGAAGAACCGCCGGAGAAAAAGAAAGCTTGAATTACTTTAAAGTTTATTGAGACAAAAATACACTTTGGGTTTTGTTTTGTAAACTCTGAAGAGACACAAACTACTTGTCTCGCAGCACAAGCGTTTCAACATCATTCACAGAGCAACGTCTTTATTTTTAAGACGTTGTATTCTGTAGACATAAAGCCTTCACAAGGTTTAGAACGTAGCATTCTGATCTTGACCATATTCTATTAACTAAGTGCCCACATATTGTATATCATGGCATTTGTAGTGCCATAGTTTTTAAAATCCTTCACTTGTATTGTGTTATATGTATTATTAAATGTATTGTAGGTTCAACTCGTGTTTCAATCTATGGGATGTGCTATAATCCGGGCAACGGGGCAATGAACAAGAATGGAGTAGATATATAGATTGATATACACATGGAGCTCATTGGAGTGAACCCATATCACCCAGGGCGTTAGCTCGCATGCTGCCCACTAAATGCAAGCCCTCAGCCTGCTCATCAATATACTGAGCTAAGTATAAATACATATACGCTGAAATATACATTGCTCTACAACCCATGGTGGGCTATTATTACAATTTATTACATGAAGGCCTGAATTGCGAGGTTAAGCAAGCGACATTTTGGACAACACGGGCGTCACCCGAAAATTGGTAGAAATAATTTTGGTATAACTTCTGTTTTGTCACATACACGCAGCAGACTTGCAGCAATGCTGTTCCAACAACTTGTGAACAGGAGTGTTCGTGACTTCTTGTTCCCAGCTTGTTGACAACTTGCTACAAGGTTGTTAAGCTTAACAGACTTGTTGCAAGAAGTTGTTCCAACAACTTGTTATCATCCAGCAATGCAACAATTTGTCAACAAGTTGTGAGTGACAACCTTGTAGCAACTTGGTAAAATAACAGCATTCAGTTACAACTTGCGAAACATCTTGTTGACAAATTGTGAGATTTTGACGTGTGTATGTTGAAGATCACCAAACTGACACAAACACATTTTTTAATCCGGTCTTCCCTCCGCAATCTGACGTCCATGTTCACAAAAAGTCGCTTGCTTGAGCTCCCTCCCTTGGAGTTTGGCGCACACGTTCCTGTCCTTGAGGCTTGAGATATCACTCGGTTCATGTATTTGCGTTCTCCTCCGCATCAACTTGGTCTTTTTTTCTCCGCATCAACTTGGTCTTTTTTCTCCACATCAACAGGTAGTAGGTCACCCCATTTAGCGCGATGTCGTACACATTTGTAAATCTCGCTGCATGACAAAATACAATATATTTCAGCCTAGTTTACACCAACATTTCTGTGATCACAGTTAGGAATTTTGCATAGAGTATAGGGTAAATTGTAACTTTTGAAGGATTTGTAAGAAATGTTTGAGGGAATTGATCCATGACTTCGAACACCGAGTCAGTTTCCCTCAAACATTTCTTACAAATCCTTCAAGACTTAGAATTTACCCTAGTATGCAAAATTCTTACTGTAATCACAAAAACTTTGATAGTGTAAACCAACCTTTATTGATAAATTATTATGTTTGTTAATTCCTAGACCTAGTACTATTCTCTATAGTGTACAAACCTGTCTTTACGCTTTGTCAAAATTTTCTGTTCCAGAGAACCTTAAACAAAAGAATTATCATATTGTTATGGCAATTTAAGGCGGTTAAAAGAACACGACAGTCGCATTTCTTACCGTTTTTGCTGCAAAAGTTACAAATCACATGTTTTTCTCTCAAACGTACCGGACGCAGTAATCTCGCCCAATCCAGACCTAAATGACAGAAAACCCAACATAAGGAAACATACAGTGTATAGATCGATCACCAGCTCTTGTGGTGGTGTGGTCACCACGCTTTCAACCTGGGAGACCCGGGTTGAATCCTTGGTCGGACCTCTACTCAAGGTCTTAAAATAATTTAGGAAAAAGTACTACTTTACATTGACATCAGTAAGGCCACATAAAATAAATTCCTTGATTCTCATCACTACACTTTGAAAATGTCGAAGAAGAGGAAGGTTTATATTTTATATTTATATAATTTATATATCAATAAATCCAGTAAAAAAATAATTCCTAACATTTAATATTTCTGTGATTTCCAAAGTAAAGTATCACAAACCGAAATAAGCATATTTCTCCACGAACAATGACTGAACCCTTCAACTGAATGCAAAGTTCCGTTAAAATGCAATGAAGTTTCTTTCAAGGTTCTATTTGTTTGAAATTGGCAGTTTAAAATGGCACTAAAAACCCAATTTTAAATATAAAAAACTTAACTGTCTTGAAATATTTTGTCGGGCGTTTCTTTTATATTGTATTAAAAGAACACGCATTTGATCATATATAAATGCTAATTTGCGCTATATAAATTGTAAATATTATTATAACAAAATATAAAAAAATTTCACGCGGCTCTTAAAATACAGTCGGGCGGTGATGAGAATCAAGGAATTTATTTTATGTGGCCTAAAATGGTTAGACTTTTCGCGTCTTCTCGGATAAGGACGTTAAAATCGTATATGTACCTCGGATCCCCTATCAATTGGGCAATTATAGCCTGTTAGGAAATCCCGTCAAATCCGCTCACCAAGGAGTGAGAAACTCGATAAATAAATTCAATCTCAGATTCGGGTTGTACTTGGAGTACATACCTTCTGTACAGCGTTCTCCCTTCCGTAACACAACGTATGAAAACATTTCATTGTAGTAGCCATATTTCTTTAGATTTGACTTCCGCTGTAAAATTGAAATGTATTAAGGCAAATAAAGTAGCCTTTATAGTGAGTACAAATATCCTTGAATGTACTTACTGCAAAGCGATCGAGATCTTACCTGAGCAAACGACAGCTGTACACGTTGTTCAAAGTTGCAAGGCTGATCACGTGTGTTAACATCAAATCGAGGACATACAAGGTCATGTGGACACTGAAAAACACGATTAAAAACTAAGGGCTTTTACACATGTAAAAATCTCAAAACTTGTCAACAAGATGTGTTCGCAACAGGCTTGTTGTAACAATACTGTTATTTTATCAAGTTGCTACAAGCTTGTCGCTCACAACTTGTTGACAAGTTGTTGTATTGCAGGGCGATAACAAGTTGTTAGAACAACTTGTAACAAGTCTGTTAAACTCAACAACCTTGTAGTAAGTTGTCAACAAGCCGTTGACAACTTGTCAACAAGCTGGGAACAAGCAGTGCGAACACATCCTGTTGACAAGTTGTTGGAACAGCATTGCTACAAGTCTGCTGCAGGTTTGTTACAACTTGTGCGTTTTTACGTGCGTGCTACTATATTTGACCCTCATATTTCTTACAGAGACGCTTTGAATCATCTAGGCTGACCGACCTTAAACCAGAGGCGACAGCCTATCTTTTCAAAAGTTGGGGGTTACATCCTTTATTATCACAGACTGTAAATTATCACAGAAATGCCATAAATCATGAAAATATCACTATGATTAGGGGATTTGTCACACATTTTATGAAATATAAATTCGCCATTTTGTACGGGATTATTGGTACTTACAGGGGAATAAACAAATCCAAGAGACCTTTTAAATTCATCGTCAATTTCTGGAAAAAAACAAACTTTGAAACTAAAGCTGTGAGTTGTGAGTTGATGGAAACAGCGGAGTTAAATTGGGATGACCTTTAGATAATGGTATGATTTATTGTCATGCGGGTAAAGTTGAGTGTGTCGGACCTCGCATTGACAACCACTAATTGATTATACGCAAAGGAGGAAACATTTATGATACCTGGCGAACTGTAGTTCTTCATCACTGGCTTCTCTTTCTGACTATCCTGAATGTAAAAATATGTACTATTTCATAAAAACATACCATAAGGCATAACTTTGGAAACTATACATAAAAATATGTAAACCAATTGTATTTTGTTGCTTACTGCGACCAAATCTCTTGCTTGCGTCGTAATATCAAATCCTTCGTTATTTCCCTTTTCTACAATCACCTGTGAGACACATAGTACCGTTTAAAACTTTACAACACAAGTCATAACAATTTGGGAAACACTTTGCCTTTGAAGGAAATAAATAAGTTAGAGTGGAATTTATTTCAATTTGCTCGCTTCTACATGGATCGACAATAGACCCTTCCGATCGAAGATGTCACTTTGGCTATAGAGTATTATAAAACCTATACTACTTTCGCGATTGAGATACTTGGATTTAACTAATCTCACATACACGAAATCGAGGCTCCATAGCAAAATGACGCTGGTCATATATGGTACCAGCACAATATAAGTACACAGATATAGTGAAAATACCATGTGGTACTTAGTACTCGGCCATTATGCATTTTTTTAAATTACTAACCAAAAAGTGATTTGTCTTTCGCCAGAGGCTTTCCAGTATTTCTTGCCTTGCTCTGCTGAAAGGAATTTCACTTAACGAATACGATGCCAGCACGATGTCATATGTCACCTGCATGAAAAAATGCACGTAAATATATGATATCAAAACCGCAGTACCCTCATATTAAGTTTCGAGATCGTATACGACAAACGACATGCAGAAAAAATGATTTTATAAGACAATGATTACTAATTTGAGTAATTTTTGCTTTATTTCTATATTTCATTATTCGTTATTTCTTACTGCCGCCAAGAAAATATGACCGTGCATGTGTTTTTCATAGTTTGCAAACTGCATGTCTAGTAGTATATTTACCTTATCCGTGACTGGTAAATACTCTTTGAAGTATATCCGAGGTATGTAGTGTGGTGTTCTGTAGCCCTCACTACCTAAAACGATAAACTAAGTGAGTTGTGGGACGTCCAAGAAATTCAAAAGACACGAGCCCGTAGGTCGAGAGATTTCGAGAGTTTTAAATTGAATGAAAACATGAACATTACTTCTAAGCAGGTATTCAGCCGTTCCGTTCATGTCATGTGAAACATCAACACACTGATAAATCTTGATCGAATCTTTCCATAGTTCATGAACAGCCCTGGAACATTTATACCATGTGAGATTTAGCGATTGTATTGGTTAACTTTATAATTATTTTTAAAAATACACTACACACATAAAAATCCCACAACTTATCAACACTGATGTGTTCGCAACAGGTTTGTAGCAAGCTTGTCAACAAGTTGTGCCAATGCTGTCATTTTATCAAGTTGCTACAAGGTTGTCACTCACAACTTGTTGACAAATTGTTGAATTGTAAGACGATAGCAAGTTGTCAACAACTTGTAACAAGTCTGTTGAACTCAACAACCTTGTAGCAAGTTGTCAACGAGCCATTAACAAGTTGTCAACAAGCTGGGAACAAGCAGTGCGAACACATCCTGTTGACAAGTTGTTGGAACAGCATTGCTACAAGCCTGCTGCAAGTTTGTTACAACTTGCGCGTTTTTACGTGTGCATGTTAATGTTGCTGTACCAAGTTGCTGTTCCAACACCTGAACCAAAGTCCAACACAGTTTCTGGTTTGAAATCTTTTTCTCTCTTAGCAATCTACGGAATACAGACCATGTTACACGAGGGAATTGTTCCTGCACCTTGCAACGTAATTTCTGACACACAGCGATGTTATCTAAAACGTAATCGCAGGGAAATTCTCCCTCCCCCTCAAAAATTTCTGAAACCCTATGAATGATATCTGAATAACTGTCTAACAAGTTATGCTGTAGCAATAAATTTTTAACCATGAAAGAATTGGTAGGCTATAAATTAAGCTGTACATATGTTTCATGAAATTAAAGGCAAAAAAAGAGTTCAAAGAACTAAAGATTTCCATGCAGATATAAAAGGCTGGTATATGTTGGCAACCTAATTTGCCCCCTCCCCGCAAAGTGTCTGCCACTGGGTGTAGAACCTTCTTACTTCATGTAGCACTCGTAGTGTAGCTCCATAACTTGCAGGTACACGATCTGCCGCATATGCTGCGGCCTGTCGCTTCTGGTATCTAGAACGTGGTTAGAGAGAATACTATAGTTAGAAAATATTATATGTCAGTATGTCGGTTGTAATATTGCATGTGAATAATGATAATCATAATATATTTTTCAGACATACCGTATTATTTTATATTCTTGCATTTTTGGTTTCCTTGTTAAAGAGGCTCTAGTAGGTTTTTCAATATGTGTTTCAGAAGATGATGGTAAAATATCGACGTCTTTGGCAGCAAGTCTGATGCCTATCTCAGACTGAGTGTCGTTTGGTGGTTGTATTTCAGCATTTTCTATACACATTAAATTAAAAAAAGTTTTGGAAAAATTTATTGAAAGTATTCTTCAACATTTTGCTTAATTTTTATCAGTACACTACAAACCTCTCAGCTGTTTTCTGGCTGCCTTCGCTTCCTTGTACTTTGTCCAGGTTCTCTCAGTTGGTCTACCTCGGTTTTGTAAATGTTTTGATAGTTGGACAGCGTCTTCCACAAGAAGTTTACTAGGAAACTCTAAGAAATGTCGCCATTCAGACATATATGTAACAAAACGAATGTTGTTTTGAGTATTTGTAGATATGCAAGTGCCAGTAACTGATTAGTTTTATATTAATCACAGTAAATGTTGAAAATAGATTTTACCCCACTACATGTCGATGACCAATTTATGGACCCCACCCAATTGGCCCCATATTTTACGTACTGCGCCCTACTTTGTTATTTTACTCTGTCTAACACCAGATGATTTTACTTGTTGAGGGAGAATTCTAGCACTTGATCATTGATAGACATTTGCTAATTAATATTTGTTAATTTGTATAAACATGAACACTCCTTATAAGCCTTACTTCGCAAATATTCATTGAGGTTTGTCTCCAATTGCAGAGGTAGATTGATTGTCCCCAAATGATAGAGACCTGTTGTGTTTTTATCATGTTTTTTAAAACCATTTTCTTGTGGGGTGTAGCCCCATTTATTGGATCTTGATATTTCCCTATCTGTTGACGAGGGTTCATCGTTTGTTTTGCTTGTGCAGCACTGTAAGTTAAAAATGTGTTAGTTGACTTCCTTTCAGTGGCTTGCTTCCTACTGCACCCTACTTTGTTATTTCACTCTGTCTAATGCCAGACAATTTTACTTGTCAATGGGAGAGCACTAGCACTCAAATATGGGTTAATAGTTTCAATTCTTCTGTTTAAGTACGGCCACCTCTCTCATATGTACACATCCATTGTTGGTGTCTATTCCGATTCGGGGTCTGTATATAAAGAGGTTCGAGTCATCAGGGGCGGATTTAGACCGTTGCAACTGTAGCATATGCTACGGTCAGATTTTCCATAGGCCAGTTCTAACATGGATCATAAAATCAATCTAAAATATAATTTAGCAATATTTTGTTTACTTTCCTTGTTTATATTTCAAGGTTTTATTTTATTTAGTTTTATATGTTCTAAAACATTTTATTTTGACAAATTGATGACATTTATAATACGTAACGTTAATTATTTTAAGAATTCCCGCCCGAAAATACGGTTGTAATTGCCCGTTTGCGGGTCATTACGCAATGGACTATAGCTTAGAAAATATCATCCTTCAGAAATACACCGTAGCGTGTTGCCCATATATGATCAATTTTCGCTACGGTCAGATTCATTAAGGTCGAATCTGACCGTAGCGAAAATTGGCATATACGGCATTCTGATTGGTTTGCTACGGTCAAACGTAGCAAACCAATCGGAATGGGGCAAATGCTATGGTTTGCTACGGTGGCATGAAATTGGCTACTGCTCCAGAACGATGGAATATCTGATATTTGTGTTTGGCTCATCAACAACATGCTATTGGGAACCCACAGTACGGTTGTGCGCATTTCGAAATGAAAGCCGTCGTAAAGCTAAAGAATTTATATGCGTCAAGGTAGAAATAAAATCAGATAGTAAAACGAATCATTTCCAGTCAGGTAAGCCTTATGAATGATAAGAGATGCACATTATATATATTAATTTGAGTTTTTACTGTATAGTGTTCGCTATTAACTTCGCTTTATTAAAGTGTTTGTGCGCGTATGTACAGTATACCTGCATGTATTGAAATTAATACGCGAATTATGATACGCGCGTATATATATCGTGTTTTATAGCGCGCTAATATTTGTTTGTAATGCGTATATATTCGTAAGATACGCGTATTCATATCATACGCGCGTTCATATGATATGCGTATTCGTATGATACACGCGTTCGTAGATGATACGCGCATTTCGGTATTCAATTGATAATGATATGCGTATGATACGAGTATCATACCGATATCGTATGTTAAAATATACGCGAGCAATAGTTTACATTTTGAGATCATTTCGGCTTATTTTTGCTTGAGAAATGAATACAATGAGGGCAAATTTAATGGTCACATGCAGTGCTCAGAACGCAGGAAATGGCATTTCCGGGCTTCAAATTTCAAAAATTTTCCGGGGGGCATGCCCCCGGACCCCCCTAGCTATGCGAGGTCTTGGAAAATGCTACGGTCAGATTTTTGGCTGGATCCGCCCCTGGTCATATAGCACAACACCAGAATTGCTTGGTCTAAAATGTGTACACCAGACTGGAAAGTTTGGAAAATGCGCGCCAGAGATTTAGAAAATTTAATAGGAAATATATAGAAAGCATCAAAATTGCGCGCCATACAAACTTTCCACACTGGTGTGCACATGCATATATATAGTGTTCACTTGGAATTTCTAGTGATATAGAAATTGCCAGAAGACGCGAGAAGTACCATTCAACATCATAGATCCATTCAAGTCCCTAACCACATAGTCAATCCTCAAGGGTCAGTCAAGCAGAGGGGGGGGGGGAGGGAGGGGGGGGGGAAATTAGGACTTATTTTAAATTGTTGAAATTGTATTGTACGAGTCTTCTTCACTAAGCAATCAATTAGATGACTTGACACATTAAAAGTAATAGCTTGAGTGGGGGCAGCGCTAGGTTCCCCCCACCCAATTTTAATAAACCCAAGTTCGACTCCACTCCCCAAAGGAAATTTGTTCCACTAATCCACTATAAATAATTTATTTTCAACTTTGAAGCTAAAATATTTTCAACTTAATCTCAGTGTATCTCACCTTTACCAAAACAAAAGCGGTTTTATTAAGCCTTTCTCCAACATTTATAGAACCATGTGATGATTTCGAAAAATAGAAAAAAAGACGCATTTTGGTTTTTTGTATCTACAAAATATTGATAATTTAATAATTTATACAAAGTAATGTTTCCACTTAAGTTCTTTGAATGTTTGCATGGCGATAAAATATAAATGTTTTTGTTTGTGGAAACACCACGTAAATTTATTACTGCAAAGCTTTCGATCCGTAAGCCCGGATCTTCAACAGTGCTAATAAAGCTAATAATGCTTTATTAGCACTGATGAAGATCCGGGCACAGAAGAGATAATACCAGAAGTCTTACTCAAGCGGAAACATGTCCCATCTTTTTTATTGCGCATGCGCGAGCTAAACAAGTGTAATGCAATGTTGACAATAGAAAATTATATTGGGAAGTTGTCATTCCTACAGTAAAAACAGCTTTTTTTCAAGCAGTACGAAATGTGACTTCGATTTATCTGTGGAACTATTTGAACAGAAGGTAAAGCAGTAATTTTGTTGTATTTAGAAAGCAAACAGGGTCATATTTTAAAGAAAATAGCGCACTAAATATAAATTTGAGCATCATTAAAATGTGTTCGCTATGATGCCATTTTGTCTCCAGTATATACGGAGTACTGGATTTATACTGGTGGATATTCGAATTTATTTGGCTCAAAAACACCATTACTTCAATATCCCTTTCTTGTTTTTCCTTGGATAGGTTTTAACAAGATAGAACTCTAGATCACTTGGGTCCAAAAACGCTAGATTATAAAATCCTGATGTGACTTGATACTACAAATAGAATATGTCTTGTGATGTAATACAAATAGAATGACAAACTTCAATGAATTGATAAAGTGTAAGGATAGTGTTTAAAGTTGCTTCATGTGTAGAAGCTGAATTACTTTAGTTTATACACTGTAATGTCGATATCACATGTTGATGACTTTAATACTAGCAACTTGCAATAAGTGGTCTGTCCTGCTTGTTTATAATACTTTAGAGTTTGGACATTAGAACATTGTAATTGCCTGACAGAGACTATTAGGGCCTGTTTGTATGGAAGCCGGGCTGGCCCGCTTAGTGAGACAGCCCGGTAAGGTAGATACGCAGGATGATTTCTCTTGTGTTTATTTGAGAAAATTTCATCCTGCTTACCGGGACAATTTTGTTGTTTTGACATTGTTTTGACAGTTGTTAAAAATAGCTTGCGGCAGTATCATTGAACTTTCATCCTGGCAACTGGGCTAGCCTGCTTGTGATTGTTTATATGGAGAAATTTCCATCCTGGTCTCTGCAACAGGGCCTCCCGCTTGTACATAGAAACAATTTTAATTATAATTTTTACTATAAAAATAAGTAGACAGCGAGATCTCACTTACCGGGCTGTCTCACTTAGTGGGCCAGCCAGTTTCGATATAAACAGGCCCTTAAAAGCTGCAAGTTTCCTTAAAGCAATATCGTCTATATCACAGAATACAGTTTCTGTAGTGACATACTTTGTGTGTTTTCTGTCTTTAAAGTGTCTTATGTTTGTAATATTTTTGTACAATACCTTTTTGAAATTGTTGATACTGGTCTCATTGTAACTCAGTTATTCCTTCTCAAGAAAAATAAAAAAACAAAGCTGTGTGGGTGTGTTTTTGCTCTAGTTTTTACATCTACATGATTCATGTACAATTAATGTACATTTAAATTAGCTTTGTTCAATGAATACAGGTGTGATTCAAATATCATTCCTATCTGGTACTTGGGTCAAATAGACATAAGCATACCAAATCATGCTATGAATTGAAATACAAGTATAGGGTGTGTATTGTTTAAATAAATATATTTTCCAGTTAACCCAGTAAGCTGCATTGTGCCCCAATGCACCCTACTTTACTAGTTTATTTCACTTCATCTAATGCCAGATGATTTTACTTATCGAGGGAGAGTGCTGCTGCTCATTGAGCTCTGATTGAGTTCACTGAGTGGCAGCACTTTCCCCTTGACGAGTGAAATTGTCTGGTGTTAGACAGAGTAAAATAATCTTGTGTTCACTAAAGTAGCTACTTTTTCAAAAGCTCAACCAGGCTAAAGATTCTTTGATTTGAAAACCAAAGTGATAGTGAACTAGTTAGTTGAAACAAACAGAATTGTTCGATTTATTTACTTTCCACAACATAATTTGACAATTAAAATTTAATTTGATACTTTTCCAGTATGCATTCTTCATTGACATTATAGAGGTTCAGATTTGACTACCATTACCATTAAGGGACCATCAAATGCATTTGATATATTCGATCAACCATTATAACCAATCAAATGCATACTAAGGCAGTCAGAGATAGTGCTAGTAGAACTCAAATATTAACCTCTACAATGAAAGTGCGAGTTTATTCATAAACTAATTATACGTAAATCAACTTTCATGCAATCATCTAGTTATGCACCAGTCAATGTAAACCCTGCCCCCAACCGGGGAGGGGCGGGAGGTTTAGTGGGGAAAGTGGTCCGTTTTGATTATAAATTTGCCCCAATGATGGGAGACTTGGATGGTGGTTAATATATATATCCTGTGTTGCTGTTTTAGTTTTCTTGACAAGAAAAGTTTAAATACAACAACATAAATGAATTTGATTTTCTATTGCTGATCTATGATTATACAAAACTATTTTCCCGCGGTTGAGAGACATGCAGGGGACATTGATGTCCCTGGGGGCGGGACAATTTTGCTCTTTTACTACCCCTCCAAGTCAAAATCCCTGCCCCTCCCCGGTTGGGGGGTTTACATTGACTGGTGCATTAATTAAAGAGGTGTCAGTGCCACATATGTAGTAAAAGCCAACTTGTCAGTAAAGGCCAGTAGGCCACAGAGCAAGATTGTATTTCAAAGATTGCCAGTGACAAGAACAATTGATAGGCCTGAAACAGAGTATGCTAACAGTTAGTATACTGCAAATAACTATTCTATCAACAAGATAATGACCGATGTGTGTTTTTACAAATGTTTTTATATATCAATCCAATGGCATGTAACCTAAAATTCAGCAGTGTCTGTGTAATGTAATACACCCTTACTTCTTAATGGTCAAATTAACTATACTACATTGTGTATAATAATATATGGACTGGTTCAAAAATATATTGAATTAATAACTTATAAGTGTTGAACTGGTGAACTATTGATGTGGAGATTTATGCCAAGTATACAATGGCACAAGGATTTTCATGTTATCTATGGAACGCCATGTGTCCAAAAATTATTTAACGTTAATTATATCATATCATGACTAAAACTGTCATTATATATAAATAATTGATAAACGAACAGACATTATATCAAATCATGACTTATTCGTTTTTGTCATTATTTGATATAATGTTATCAACATTAAGCATTATATCATATCATGAACTTCCGAAAAGTCATGATATGATATCAAGACATTTCGACAAAATCATTACATCATATCATGACTTTTCGACAAAATCATTATATGATATCATAAGCATTTGTGTAAGTCCTGATTTGATATAATGCTAATGCGTTACACTATGATATCAAATAATGACTTTTCAGTTGATTCATGATATGATATCATGTAAAGGAACTTTTTCATTATATCATATAATGAAACAGCGCCGAAAAGTCATTATTTGATATAATGCAATAGCGTAGTGCGCCATCTGTCCAAAAATTAAAACTGTCCAAAAATCAATTAACCTTATAATAACTCAACCGTCCGGTAACTTAAAACCTCCGGTATCCCAGTTGATTGGACCCCCGTAGATTCGGACTCCTGGTCCATATCCACTAGTAGATTTGGGCCGGCACTCATGGGCCAAAGGCTACAAACAAATCTCTTCGATTACAATCGATCTTCCTCCGTTTTGCGCTTTCAGCAGCTAAGAATCCTGCTTGTATTCGGTATTATGTATTATTATTTTTTTAATTTAAAAAGGCTGAATTATGGCGCGTCCACACCAAACCAATTCTCGCTGCCGGCGTAGAGCGCGACCAGCACAAGATTAAGTTCAAACGTTATAAACCAGGTCTGTATCACCTACATAGTGTTTCATATAAGTACTGAGGCATTAAGCTTTACCTTTGTGAATATTTATCAATATCTTATTTTACATAAAGGCCGCAGAAAATTATACTCAGAATAGCACAGGAGCTATAAAGTCTATAAACATCCGTGGTGGCAACCATAATATAAACAGAAAACAACCAGAGCAAACAACACTGCCCTCGATATTTAGTGGGGCAAGTCGTTCGCAAAGTTTGCCGGCTATTATTATTATTAGTTTTATTATGTGATTGCCACCACCGTTATTTATAGGAATACGGCTCATGGTACTAATCCATACTATTCTGAGTATAAATCTCTGCGGCCTTTATGTAAAATAAGATATCGATAAATATTCAAGAGTAAACTTAATGCCTCAGTACTTATTTGAAACACTAAGTATGTATAGGTCATACAAACCTGGTTTATAACGTTTCAACTTAAACTTCTGCTAGTCGAGCTCTATTCCGGCGGCGAGAATTGGTCCGGGCCTCTGGGTGCATTCTCTTTTAATGTCCACCCCCCCCCCCAGTCGTTTCTGAGGGGTTAAGCCTGTCGGCATCTTTTGATGTATGCGATTTTTCTGAGGCGTAAGGGGAAAATTTACAAATTTCTGAAGGGGGTTTGTGTCGGCATTTTGATCTTTTTTTCTTAGAGGTTAAAATCTTACTGACCTTATCCATAGAGGAGGGATGGATATTAAATGCAATGGCCCTCTGTCTGTTAATACGGACCAAACTGCTCCTTGCACAGCTCTAGTTATTGCTTCTTCCCAGCAACGTTCACCACTCGCCATAATTCAGCCTTTTTAAATTAAAAAAA